AAAAAAAAAAAATTAACCCTCTTTCATTCGTTAATCTCTGTAAAAAATGGAAGAAACTGTCATGAAAATCACAGCGCAGTAAGAAAAATAATTGTTTTGGGCGCACAATGACTCCCGCGAATTAAAAATTCACCTCTCCCCTCCTAATTGAGATTAAAGAATGAAAAAAGGGAAGTGTGACGGAGAATTAAATTCTCCATCAATTCTCCGTCGAACTGCCCTGTTTTCATCCCTTAATCTCAATTAGAAGGGGAGAGGTGAATTTTTAATTACCGGGAGTCACTGTGCGCCGCAAAACAATTGTTTTTCTTACTGCGCTGTGATTTCCATGACAGTTTCTTCCATTTTTTACAGAGATTAAGGTATGAAAGAGGGTTAATTGATGGGTAATTTAGTTCTCCGTCAAACAGCCTTTTTTTCATCCCTTAATTTCAATTAGGAGGGGAGAGACAAATTTTTAATTCGTGGGCGAATGGTGAAAAGTCCATGTGCGCCGAGAAGAAAATTATTTTCTCACTGGCCCATGACTTTTGTCGTAGTTTGTATTTTTTTGTTACAGAGATTAAGGGATGCAACGGGGATCGATTGATAGGGAATTTAATTCTCCATCACACCTTCTCGGTTTCATTCCTTAATATTAATTAGCCAGCAAATGAATCACCTGAAAAACATTAACAACATGTTGAAGACGAGGAGAGCACAAATTCCCCTCCGAAACTATCCCTGTGACAGCCAGGGGATGGAAACTCAATGTAAATGCCTATACCAGGGGCACAGCGGGACTGCTACTGCCGAGTTACCGGCACAGGCAGCTCGCCCAGCCGTCAGATTCGACCGTGGCGCCATCCCTCCGTTGGGGTCGTACTATTTTTGGCTTGGGGTCACTTGAACCCCGAGATCTGAGCCTCTACTTAAGTCAATCCTCTTTGGTTCTGACTCGGTGGATGTATCTCCCCCTCCACTCTTCAAGTTTGGCGCTCAATATTTCAAAAGGCGCCACTGTGGTCCTAGTAACATCGACAGGACATAACATCGAACACTTCTACCGAATTTACTGATCAATCATTTTTGAAGGCTCAAATCTATACATCTTCAATGTTAATATTTATCAGAATTTGTCATTATTTTTTCGAAGATTTTGCAGATCGATGAACAAAATAACTATTTTCCCTAGATTTTCAGAATGAAAAGGTCTGTAAGGAGTATTCACTAACGTGGAGTTCGCCGGGAGCCGCCATACGAGACGGATGCTCGTCCGCCTCGTAGACTATATTCTACCTTGTCCCTTTACTTTCGGTTCCTTTCTATCCCCTTTTTTTTATTTTTTTTTCTCTTCTTTTCTCCTTTTCCTATATCTTCATTTCCTTCTTTCAAAAGTAAAGGTTGCCGGTTCCGATAATTTACAACAATTTTTGAATAATTATCGACGGACTCCCCGGAAATTCAATAAGGACAGTTTAAGTGCTAGGTTGTTCCATCAGTGGTTAAGTGTCTCGAAGAATTTTAAAATCATAAATTTATCACATCTGAAAATTAATTATAGGACTGAAGAACTAAACCTGATGGCGAATTTAGTTTTTCATCCAGTAAATTAAACTCAGTGAATTGATAGTGTTTGGACGATATTTTATTTTAGCCTTTGGAATCGAATCTCCTCGAAGGTCAGAATTCGCATTCCAAGGCTCGGTCAGTATAATAAAGATTTTCAAAACAAACAGTGACCTTGGGATTAAGGGATTCAGTATATTGGACATTCACATCAAAACAAAACAAATTTTGGAATGTTTTCGAGTCAAGCTGCTAGTGGATTTAAATCAGTGCTTCCCTCTATGAGGGTTCTCTAACATCTCCGTTTGGATTTTATAAACTGAAAGTTGTCCTGATTTCGAGTTTCTCGAAGCATTGGACAGATGTCATTATATTTCAAGAGAGAATGCATGGCACTTGCCCCTATCCGAGGACGGGGATATAGCAAGTCAAAGGAATAGAATAGAATTCACTAACGTCGAGAATACGGTCCCTGGTATTGCGCAGAGTGGTAAATAATCCAAAGATCTTAATTATTGAAAACCTGTCCCACCTATAAATATTCATATCGAAATATTTTGAAGAAAGAAATGTTGAAGCTTAAAAACCAATATACAACGTTGAAACGTCCACTTTTTTACTGGCTGGTGGCGGTATTTAACAGGTTAATATATACACTAATTTTTTTCCTAAATTTTTGGAAGGATAGAGATTTTATGCGAATGATTAAAGAGTTGATGAAAAACGAATTAAAGAACTCGGACCTGATCGAGCCTGCGCTGAGTGGCTTTTGAGGAATGGAGCCGCTGTTCAGTGGACGGGCGGTCGTGCTTACCTTAAAGACTACAATGCTCTTCCGCAGGAGACGAAGGTCGTCAGGCCCTCTTATATTCAAGGAGTTGATGGCACTAATTCTGGGATTAGTCACGAAGGCTTTCCACACTTCTGTAATTTCTTATTCTCCACTTGGAATCCCAGAATGGGCTCTTGGTGATCATAATTTTCATGCTTTACTGTTTTTAATGGGTTTTTAGCTGGATGCAAATATGTGCTAGAGATGAAACTCGTTAACTGCGTTTATATTGGAAATAATGCGCTGGATTTATTGTATCTATTGAAAGATTCTCTGCAATCTCTTGAGATTTCTAACTGCGGAAATGTGACGGACGCAGGACTTAAGCATTTGAAGATTTTACAGTAATTTTTTATTAGAATGAGAGCAATGTGAATATTTATGAGTATGAGATTTTTATTATTTTTTCTGTTGAAAATGGTTTTAGGAAATTGAAGATGCTGAAACTTTCAAATCTTCCAGCAGTTGAAAATGGCGTATTGGTGACAGAAGAATTGAAGAAATCTCTGCCAAATTGTCAAATAAATTTTCAATAAAGTTTGTGCTATTTATTATGGAATTTTATATTTTCACATACTCTCAAAGGAATGGGTGTTTTAAGTCTTTTTATATTGCCCTCGTGACCGTAAATTTGAAGAATTGAGTAGCATTATGATCTTGTAAATCAATTATACTAAAGGAGAAGACCATTTCTCGAAATTCGAGTTATCGTTTTTTTTTAAATCGAAAATAAAAATATCGATTATCAATGCAAACAACTGTCGAGTATCGATTAGAAAAAAATGACAGTTTTTGTTGATGAAAATTGAGCTATTGATGAGGTTAAATTTTGCGATAAATAAATAAATAAATCAATCACTACAGATAAAAAAGTGTAAAAATAGTGGAAGTGCCAAAACAGTGCTCATAAAAACAAGGAGACGAGGATCATCCCAAGAGACCATTCGTAAAGTAGTCGAGTTCTCTCTGGAGGTGAAATTGCACAGGGTGAAACTTCCCAACATCCAGGCCGTTCTTCTGCCCAAAAATCATAGTGATTGAGAACAATAGTAGCTAATAGTGTCTATTATTAAAAAACATCCCTTCTAGAGCTTCTCATTCGGTAAGTAATGGCATTTCTTATGGCTAGGTTATGTTCTCTTCAATGTTATTGTTCCACCAGTGCATTTGCAATATTTGTTATAAAATGCACCTCTGGAGTGATTAATAATTGTTGTTGAAAAATGATTCCCAATCTCACGAAATTTTTCTTCATTGTAGGAACAATAAATGAGTATAATTGTCTTTATTTTTATATTTAATTCTTTTAATTAATGACAAGTCTCTGAATAAATCGTCATAATTCACCGGGAACATTTTTGTTAATGTCACTTTATTTAAAAAAACCAGTGATTTTGAGAGAATATGTCAAAAGACCGTTCTTTTAATTCTAGAAATTTTCTGAGAAACAGGTCATTTGATATTTTTTGTTAAACCTATTAGTTGCAAAGATATTTGCAAAATAAACAGTGAATCCTTTTTTGATCCTCATTTCGTGTCCATAACCAAGATATTTCCTTTGGTTTTTAATGCTCAAGTCCTTCTTTTTCTATGAACTATATATATATATCTCATTTAAAAGCTTAATACATAAGTTTCAATAGGACACCTGATTTGTTTAATTCTGACTCTTTGGCATTGATCTATGACAGTTTTGGGCGAAAATTTAATTTTTATGTTTCCCTTGAAAAATTAACTTTGGGTTGATTTTTTGATAGTCCTAAGTGAACTAGACATGAATATTTATGCATTATTTTGAAGAGAATTTAGTGTTCTTCGAAATGGTGCATGATAATTATGATTCAATCCAATTTTCATCAAGTTATTGCAGATTGTTCCCATTTTTGCTTCCGAATGGAAGCTTCGTAATCGGTCAAATTTATGTTGTGGTTTTTTGTGTTATATCTACTGTGCATGATAGAAAATTACGACAATGCAATTCTTAGACCTCGTCTGTACGTGGGTGTGTATGTGTGTTCGTATATAACAAAGTATTTCTTCAATTGTTTGATAATGTATCGATGGAATTAAATATTATTTTTTTCAAGTGTAGGTATTGTTGGGCCCTATCAATCACTATTAATTGAAATTTAATTTATCGATTTGTTTTTTTAATTGTCGAATGTTTTCGGAAATCGGTTGTTCCACGATAACGAACAATTAATGTTCGTAATTGATTAAATAATGGCTTGAAAAATGTTGTTTGGATGCCCTTTTGAGCTAGTTCGAAGATGAAGGTGATACAACAATCGTTATTTTGTTTTATTAGAAAATACACAAAAATTTTGTATTTTTTAAAAATTGAAATTTTTGTATATCATGCTTCAAATGAATGCAATTCAGTAACGAAATTATATAACGGCACAAGTCAATTTTAACGATTGATAATTTTTCAGTGAATATCTCGGCATCTAAGGGAGATAGCAAAATTTTTGTTATAACCTTTTTTGTAGAGCCGATTGAGAGCTGCAATAAATGTAATCATGAAATTTTCACTACTTCCCTTAGATTCGGAAATATTCGTCAAAAACTCAACTCGGAGATAAGTCGACTTGAACCGTTTTACCACTTTGCTACTGAATTATAGCTTCAAATGTTTATTTTAATGCCATTAGGCGAATGATTGATTTAGTTTTTATGATTGTTGAAAATTTCGAATTTTTCATAAATTTTGCTGAAAGTGAGCTTTCTTATGGTTTCGTCAAATGTGATGTTTTAAATTCATTCAAGGATCTATAAATCAAATTCTTGAATTAACATTCTATCGAAGGGCTGAAGGGAGAAATATAACCACACAAAAAAAAACATTGTATAGAAGAAAGGGATAATAAAAATAATGTTGATAACTAAGTTGAAAATTTGACCAAATGAGTTACCACGAAATCTTATTCAATTTAAAAAAATGAAATAAATAATGAATTATACATGATAGAAGGAAATGATCTGCGTATTAATCATTCTGAAGCATATTGCTAATTATATAACAAAAAATATATACTAGAAGAGAGTGGCGCAGAATGAAACAGTCGAAAAAAAGACGCAATTCGATCAAAACATTTGTTTTTATTAAATTTTCTACTTATCAACAGTTTTTATCCTTGGGACTACTGGTGAGAACAATAATTTTTCATTCACTAGAATGGAAAATTATTGAGAACTTTTGATGGGAGAAGATTTTGTCAATGGATTAATTGGAAAAAAAAGAAACAGCAAAATCAAAAGTCCGAAGCAAGGCCCAGGGGCAGAACCAGAGGGGAAAAAAGAAAAATGTGATGCTGATTGTCAATCGAATGAAAAGAGAAAAGTGCAGTCGGTCTAATGTAATCAATTGCATTATAATCCATTGAATTATAAGACAAATAGAAAATTATTATTCTCATCAGTACTCCCAACAATAAAAGAAATTAATGAATAAAAGTTGATAAAAAAAAATTATTTTTGCTTGAATTGCGTCAAATGATTGATTATAGGCTGTTTCATTTTGCCCCACTCTTTCGTTTTGCCCCACTCTCCCCTATAGATAATACGAGAGCAATTTCCCACTTGTTTACGTTACGTCACATCTTAGAGGTCACATTTTTTAGAATTATGGAGACTATCAACTTGTACAGGGGGGATATGTCATACGTCAATTTTCCCATCCAGATCGTGTTGCGATTATTTTGGTAATGGAGGAATTTAGAAGACAATGTCAAAAGACGATCGAAAGGAGTAATCATTGCAGTTTCACAGTCATCAGCCCGCCTTTCTCACATGCCGATTTGTTTGGTGATTTAGTGTTGTAAGTATATAATTAAATTTAGTATTCATAATTCAACCGACATAATAACTCGTACTCTTTCATTAACCGTGAAAGAGTCTGACCATTCTGAAAAAATAGTTAAGAGAGCAGAAGAATTGAGAAAAACGGGAGAAAATTAGTGCTCGATGAATTTAACTCCGTCTTCGCATTATAGAACAGAAATATTCTAACGTAATAATTCCTTTGCCTGCGAGGACGAAGATGAATTCTTTTTACGAAAACTGGTGAACATTCCAACGTTCTTTTACCCTCCAGCGAGCTTAATGTCTGCGGCAATTGATAAAAGATCGATCTGTGGGTAAAATGAACTTCTTTTACAGCTCCATGTTCTTTCGGCGATAAAGGTCGTTTTACGGAGTCGCCCATGTCGACCGGGGTTTTCCATGGTTTCCCTCGGTCACCAGGAGTGTCTGCAAATGAAGTACAGCTCCTGGGGCAAATGCGACGTGATTGGAGGAAGACGGCCCATGGTAACGCATAAAAATGGCAGTAGAAAACCGGATAAGCTCTACAAATATTGTATCCAAGGAAATATATATCTATATTATTGTTATTTGTATATATTATTATTACCTATCATTTTCTTCTCCATTTTCATTTTTTAAAGATTTTTTAAGAAATATTTTTTCAATTAGCTCAATTAGATCATAGAAAAGCGAATTCTTCCGTACTAATGGAAGCATGGTAATCGTTCAAATTTAAGTTTTGCATTTTTTGTGTTATATCGACCTATTAGGATCCAAAAAGTTCGAAAATGCAATTTCTGAACCGTCTTCGTACATATGTATGCATGTATGTGTGTGACAAAGTTTTTCTGCAATTGTTCGCTAATGAATCGATGGAATTGAATCATTTCTCTCAAATGTAGGTATTATTCAGCTCTATCCATCGCCATTAATTAAAAATTGATTCATTGATAAATTTTTTACTTTTCGATATTCTTAAATCGGTTCCCACCTTAAAAAAAATTCTGAATCCATTGAATAATGGCTTAACAAATTTTTTCCGATGTTCTTTTCACCGAATTCGAAGATAAAGCAACAATCGTTATTTTGATATATCATGAAAATTTGCGAAAATTTTATATTTTTCGAATATATTCCTGCAGACATATTTGGATATTATTCTTAAAATTAATTCAACCATAGGTAAAAACGTTTGTTTCAATGCCACGAAATCGAAGTTGAAAGATAGTTACGATAGCTATCTCCGTTAATTTGATTTTTATGATGATTTTTGAAAATTTCTAATATTTCATGAATTTTCCTGAAAGTGAGCTATCTAATGGTTTCTTCAAATGTGATATTGCAAATTCGTTCAATTACATATAACTACAAATTTTTTATTTTTATTTTTTCGATTTTTAAAATGATATAGATGTCATTCTTTTATTTGATGTATACCAGATCTTCGGAAATTATTCTGTTAGCATTCGAAACGTTGTCGGTTTTCCATTATTGCGGAAAAATTCAACTAAGTCGAAAATCTGCCACAATTTGTTAAAAACATTATTAACTTTAATAAAATTAAATAAACTATAAATTATATAGGGTAGATAGAAATGACATACAATATGAGCACTCGGCAGCATATTGCTAATTTATTAACAAAAATAACTATGCCATATGCAATATATTAATAATTTAACACTTATTTTCGGTTTAAATCGAAAGGAATTAAATTCTAGATTGATTGATTTCAAAATTGATTTTTCATCCGCCTCGCCATTTTACAATATTGAACACTTGTTATGTACTATTTTAATGTTACACTACTCAGAATAATAATTTTGATATGGTATGAAAAAAGTAAAAAAAACAGTAAACCGATAAAACATAATTTTTCTATGTAATCTAACGAACGTTTTGAAAAAAAAAGCGTGAATCGGATGAAAGTTATGGTGTAAGGAGCATTTCAAAGCCAAATCACGAAAACCAACCCTTTCGCCTGACGTAAGAGGTAAAATGGACTGGGTATGAAATTTTTTTTAGTTTTTATGTACCTCATGATATGTCAAAAGTCGCTCAATATTTATTTTCGTCAACCGAAGACTTTCAAATTTCACCTGGGTCCCCCCTTAAGAATATTGAGGTTATGGATGCATAATTTGACATATGTGCTTCTCTATTTGTTTATTCTTCCATTTTTAGTAATGATGAGAGCCGTCCATCAGACTTNGTTATTTTGTTTTATTAGAAAATACACAAAAATTTTGTATTTTTTAAAAATTGAAATTTTTGTATATCATGCTTCAAATGAATGCAATTCAGTAACGAAATTATATAACGGCACAAGTCAATTTTAACGATTGATAATTTTTCAGNCGTCGACTTAAGAGGCCAAAAATCAAAGGACCAAGTGAGTGGAAATTTTCTTATAATAATTCCTGATGAATGAAACACAGAGTTAACCCAAGGAAGAAGAGAGAAATTCTGGAAAATTATCATGGAGCCAGATTCAAGGTTAACTCATCTGAGTTTAATTCATCAGGAATACCCAAAATAATAATCAAGATTTTTTTCTATAAATTTTTTTCTCAATTCCAGATTGCTACTGCTTGTCCTTCATTGTATCTTCTTCCTCTTCTGAATGAAGGGAAATAAAGCATCACTTCNAATTTTCACTACTTCCCTTAGATTCGGAAATATTCGTCAAAAACTCAACTCGGAGATAAGTCGACTTGAACCGTTTTACCACTTTGCTACTGAATTATAGCTTCAAATGTTTATTTTAATGCCATTAGGCGAATGATTGATTTAGTTTTTATGATTGTTGAAAATTTCGAATTTTTCATAAATTTTGCTGAAAGTGAGCTTTCTTATGGTTTCGTCAAATGTGATGTTTTAAATTCATTCAAGGATCTATAAATCAAATTCTTGAATTAACATTCTATCGAAGGGCTGAAGGGAGAAATATAACCACACAAAAAAAAACATTGTATAGAAGAAAGGGATAATAAAAATAATGTTGATAACTAAGTTGAAAATTTGACCAAATGAGTTACCACGAAATCTTATTCAATTTAAAAAAATGAAATAAATAATGAATTATACATGATAGAAGGAAATGATCTGCGTATTAATCATTCTGAAGCATATTGCTAATTATATAACAAAAAATATATACTAGAAGAGAGTGGCGCAGAATGAAACAGTCGAAAAAAAGACGCAATTCGATCAAAACATTTGTTTTTATTAAATTTTCTACTTATCAACAGTTTTTATCCTTGGGACTACTGGTGAGAACAATAATTTTTCATTCACTAGAATGGAAAATTATTGAGAACTTTTGATGGGAGAAGATTTTGTCAATGGATTAATTGGAAAAAAAAGAAACAGCAAAATCAAAAGTCCGAAGCAAGGCCCAGGGGCAGAACCAGAGGGGAAAAAAGAAAAATGTGATGCTGATTGTCAATCGAATGAAAAGAGAAAAGTGCAGTCGGTCTAATGTAATCAATTGCATTATAATCCATTGAATTATAAGACAAATAGAAAATTATTATTCTCATCAGTACTCCCAACAATAAAAGAAATTAATGAATAAAAGTTGATAAAAAAAAATTATTTTTGCTTGAATTGCGTCAAATGATTGATTATAGGCTGTTTCATTTTGCCCCACTCTTTCGTTTTGCCCCACTCTCCCCTATAGATAATACGAGAGCAATTTCCCACTTGTTTACGTTACGTCACATCTTAGAGGTCACATTTTTTACAATTATGGAGACTATCAACTTGAACAGGGGGGATATGTCATACGTCAATTTTCCCATCCAGATCGTGTTGCGATTATTTTGGTAATGGAGGAATTTAGAAGACAATGTCAAAAGACGATCGAAAGGAGTAATCATTGCAGTTTCACAGTCATCAGCCCGCCTTTCTCACATGCCGATTTGTTTGGTGATTTAGTGTTGTAAGTATATAATTAAATTTAGTATTCATAATTCAACCGACATAATAACTCGTACTCTTTCATTAACCGTGAAAGATTCTGACCATTCTGAAAAAAGAGTTAAGAGAGCAGAAGAATTGAGAAAAACGGGAGAAAATTTGTGCTCGATGAATTTAACTCCGTCTTCGCATTATAGAACAGAAATATTCTTACGTAATAATTCCTTTGCCTGCGAGGACGGAGATGAATTCTTTTTACGAAAATTGGTGAACATTCCAACGTTCTTTTACCCTCCCGCGAGCTTAATGTCTGCGGCAATTGATAAAAGATCGATCTGTTGTTAAAATGAACTTCTTTTACAGCTCCATGTTCTTTCGGCGATAAAGGTCGTTTTACGGAGTCGCCCATGTCGACCGGGGTTTTCCATGGTTTCCCTCGGTCACCAGGAGTGTCTGCAAATGAAGTACAGCTCCTGGGGCAAATGCGACGTGATTGGAGGAAGACGGCCCATGGTAACGCATAAAAATGGCAGTAGAAAACCGGATAAGCTCTACAAATACTGTATCCAAGGAAATATATATCTATATTATTGTTATTTGTATATATTATTATTACCTATCATTTTCTTCTCCATTTTCATTTTTTAAAGATTTTTTAAGAAATATTTTTTCAATTAGCTCAATTAGATCATAGAAAAGCGAATTCTTCCGTACTAATGGAAGCATGGTAATCGTTCAAATTTAAGTTTTGCATTTTTTGTGTTATATCGACCTATTAGGATCCAAAAAGTTCGAAAATGCAATTTCTAAACCGTCTTCGTACATATGTATGCATGTATGTGTGTGACAAAGTTTTTCTGCAATTGTTCGCTAATGAATCGATGGAATTGAATCATTTCTCTCAAATGTAGGTATTATTCAGCTCTATCCATCGCCATTAATTAAAAATTGATTCATTGATAAATTTTTTACTTTTCGATATTCTTAAATCGGTTCCCACCTTAAAAAAAATTCTGAATCCATTGAATAATGGCTTAACAAATTTTTTCCGATGTTCTTTTCACCGAATTCGAAGATAAAGCAACAATCGTTATTTTGATTTATCATGAAAATTTGCGAAAATTTTATATTTTTCGAATATATTCCTGCAGACATATTTGGATATTATTCTTAAAATTAATTCAACCATAGGTAAAAACGTTTGTTTCAATGCCACGAAATCGAAGTTGAAAGATAGTTACGATAGCTATCTCCGTTAATTTGATTTTTATGATGATTTTTGAAAATTTCTAATATTTCATGAATTTTCCTGAAAGTGAGCTATCTAATGGTTTCTTCAAATGTGATATTGCAAATTCGTTCAATTACATATAACTACAAATTTTTTATTTTTATTTTTTCGATTTTTAAAATGATATAGATGTCATTCTTTTATTTGATGTATACCAGATCTTCGGAAATTATTCTGTTAGCATTCGAAACGTTGTCGGTTTTCCATTATTGCGGAAAAATTCAACTAAGTCGAAAATCTGCCACAATTTGTTAAAAACATTATTAACTTTAATAAAATTAAATAAACTATAAATTATATAGGGTAGATAGAAATGACATACAATATGAGCACTCGGCAGCATATTGCTAATTTATTAACAAAAATAACTATGCCATATGCAATATATTAATAATTTAACACTTATTTTCGGTTTAAATCGAAAGGAATTAAATTCTAGATTGATTGATTTCAAAATTGATTTTTCATCCGCCTCGCCATTTTACAATATTGAACACTTGTTATGTACTATTTTAATGTTACACTACTCAGAATAATAATTTTGATATGGTATGAAAAAAGTAAAAAAAACAGTAAACCGATAAAACATAATTTTTCTATGTAATCTAACGAACGTTTTGAAAAAAAAAGCGTGAATCGGATGAAAGTTATGGTGTAAGGAGCATTTCAAAGCCAAATCACGAAAACCAACCCTTTCGCCTGACGTAAGAGGTAAAATGGACTGGGTATGAAATTTTTTTTAGTTTTTATGTACCTCATGATATGTCAAAAGTCGCTCAATATTTATTTTCGTCAACCGAAGACTTTCAAATTTCACCTGGGTCCCCCCTTAAGAATATTGAGGTTATGGATGCATAATTTGACATATGTGCTTCTCTATTTGTTTATTCTTCCATTTTTAGTAATGATGAGAGCCGTCCATCAGACTTCAGTGACAACTGGAATAAATTTAAAGATTGCGCTCAAATTTGCCGCGCGCGGAGGGATACATGACATGCCGTCGTGGATAGTGGTGGGGAGTCTTCGGCAAAAACCCGATGTTCCTTCTTTCCTGGCGAGAACTATATAGGTAATCGTCGTCGACTTAAGAGGCCAAAAATCAAAGGACCAAGTGAGTGGAAATTTTCTTATAATAATTCCTGATGAATGAAACACAGAGTTAACCCAAGGAAGAAGAGAGAAATTCTGGAAAATTATCATGGAGCCAGATTCAAGGTTAACTCATCTGAGTTTAATTCATCAGGAATACCCAAAATAATAATCAAGATTTTTTTCTATAAATTTTTTTCTCAATTCCAGATTGCTACTGCTTGTCCTTCATTGTATCTTCTTCCTCTTCTGAATGAAGGGAAATAAAGCATCACTTCACTACTCAAATAAACAAATATCGAGCTCCAATAATCTAATTACACATAAGTGTCGAGCAAAATACGATCTTGAGGTATGTTCTTATTTNTTTTTCATAAATTTTGCTGAAAGTGAGCTTTCTTATGGTTTCGTCAAATGTGATGTTTTAAATTCATTCAAGGATCTATAAATCAAATTCTTGAATTAACATTCTATCGAAGGGCTGAAGGGAGAAATATAACCACACAAAAAAAAACATTGTATAGAAGAAAGGGATAATAAAAATAATGTTGATAACTAAGTTGAAAATTTGACCAAATGAGTTACCACGAAATCTTATTCAATTTAAAAAAATGAAATAAATAATGAATTATACATGATAGAAGGAAATGATCTGCGTATTAATCATTCTGAAGCATATTGCTAATTATATAACAAAAAATATATACTAGAAGAGAGTGGCGCAGAATGAAACAGTCGAAAAAAAGACGCAATTCGATCAAAACATTTGTTTTTATTAAATTTTCNTTCGACCATTGCTTTTCTTAAGGATATCCAAGTACTTCGGCTATTTTTTTGTGAAACCTTTTGTAGTTTTAAATAAGAACTTCCATTTGAGCCCCACTTGACCATAAGTTTCCGAGCATTTTACAATGAATTTATTATCTAAACTTTGGAGTTCTGAAATTTATTCTTGATTTTGAACCGTCAGGAAACGTTTTAACAATCTGAAAAAAACAACTAGAAAGTCTACTTTCAGAGAAAGATTCATAAAATAATTGAAAATTGCAATTTTTAAAGGTTAACAACATTTTGTAAGAATCATTCATAAACACTCAATTTTTCACGATAAAAATCATTTTTCGGAATTGTAATAAATTTTTTCATATTCTGAATTTTACCAGGAAACAATTTTATGCCAAAAAAATTAGGTGTGTNAGACAAATAGAAAATTATTATTCTCATCAGTACTCCCAACAATAAAAGAAATTAATGAATAAAAGTTGATAAAAAAAAATTATTTTTGCTTGAATTGCGTCAAATGATTNATTTTTCGGAATTGTAATAAATTTTTTCATATTCTGAATTTTACCAGGAAACAATTTTATGCCAAAAAAATTAGGTGTGTAAAAGTTCAAACCATTTCAATTATTTATTCATAAAAAGGGAATGTTTAAAAAAATCATCATTTCATACAGAATGTAATTTGAATAACACTAAATATCCATGATGGTTTTTCGAATTTTTCTCACGCAATTTAATTGATAAATTTAATTATTGAAAATGGTAGAATCTATAGTGTGGTCTGTACCAAACTGTAAAAAATACTTCGATATCCTCAACGCATAATCAACTCTGAAAAAAAAACTCGTAGAAATGTTAATTTGAAATTAACGTTGATTGTTATAATATTCGTTTNATTTAGTGTTGTAAGTATATAATTAAATTTAGTATTCATAATTCAACCGACATAATAACTCGTACTCTTTCATTAACCGTGAAAGAGTCTGACCATTCTGAAAAAATAGTTAAGAGAGCAGAAGAATTGAGAAAAACGGGAGAAAATTANTGATATACAACACATTCAACATTTTGAGAAGAGTGCAGACGATTAGAGAACTATTTAAGTACCGTGAGGGATGCAGTTGTCGGACGGTATGCAGAGGTCGGATGGAGAAATAGCATACGTCCGAGAACTGAAGAAATGACTATCTTGATTGATTATCTTTACTTTCATTAGAAAAACTAAAGATAAAGGGAAAAATCCATTCAATAATATGAAGAACAAATAAATAAACCGCTTTGATTCTTTACACACCTGATTTATGGCGAAAGTGCCTCATGATTCGACTCTTCTCCCAGCCTAAACCTTAACCGTCCGACAATTGTATTCCTCACGGTATTGGTTACTTAGTTACCTGTAAAGAATTGCCAGAAAAAAGATTTTTGTTTCTCTATCCAATAATGTTTCAATTTTCCCAGTGAAATAATTTTGATGATTTAATTATAATTTTAAAATGTTTGAAGAATATAATCCTGTCTTGATAAAAGAGGTATCCGGATTTGAGTAGTAGGGAGCACGTTTGAAAAAACTGAATAGAATTACTTAGCATTTCCTCTGGACAATTTTCTTGAATTTCTATGCACGATTTTTTTCCATTTTTTCCCTTTGATTTCATTACGATGAGAATCAAGGAGAGAAAAGCCACAAAAACTTTGAAAATTTTTGCCTGAAAATTTCCATAGAAAAATCAAAATTGCATAATCTCTAATAGAATTATTATAGAGATATTATTGATATCAAGTGACTATTGAATGAAAATTTTGATTAATCCAATTTTTTATTTCAGGATGGTAATGTGGGAAGTGTAGCGATAAAAATGTGAAAATTTCGACTTCAGTGAGAAAATATGCAATACTCTTGGCAAAACCTGTGAAGAGATGAAAATATTAATATCGATAATTCGATAAAACTGTTATGAGAAAAGCCAAAGTATTATAATTCATCTACAGAATTATATGAAAAAAAAAAAATTCAAGTGAATGATTAAAATTAAAACATGATCTATCTGTGTGAACTTTAATTCTCCATGATCATTTATCTCTCAATTAGAAATATACTCTCGTAAACAAGAAAAAGAAAACAATGTAATAAATGTCAGAAAAATTTCTCCAAATTCAAATCAGAACGAAGCTGTTCCATTAGAAATTATGACCAAAAATTCTACCGGGAAGCCAAGAATCTCAGATTCTGGCTGCTCTCATGAACAAGACATACTATAATAAATAAAAAAACGACCGATGAGTGATGTAGAAAATTACTAAAAAAAATCCGTAATTATGCCTCAAATTATTACGTCTCTTAAATGACGTCAGGTCTCACTTTCATCATTTTCCCCATCCATTCTCACAATTAAGGGGAATCTTCGGAGTCATACTAGAAATCGGGGAACGTTTCAAATCTATTTTATTCAAAAATTTTCCGGTGAAAATTCACCAATTTTTGTTGGAAATATACTCCTGGAAATGGATCATTATTTGAAAATAATTTGACATATTTTTGAGTTTTTTTTTTAATAATATAAAACAAGAAAAAATTTCATAATGGATTTGACTCGGCTATTAGAAAATTATGGCACTATTAGAATCTACTTCTATTGGCGATCTTGATTTATGATTTGTTCTCACAATTTCGTAAATCTAATAATCCATTTCAATAACGACGAAAGTGCAGAGGTTGTTGATGAGCGCGCGCAGCGCGCCTTATAATGCTATCAGTAAGGAAAATATCCCTTAACTATTCTCGGAAGTTAAATCTGTCTGTTACTCTACTATCCATCGTCCATCACTGACTGCAAGTATGGAGATACGTCGGTATATCGTCAAGGATTATTTGTATTTTTTTTTCTTTCTTGGGTCATTCTGCCAATTTTTGTTATCGTTTTCTATCTCCAGAAATTTTATTGTGTTGAAGTTTCTTATATAGTTTTTTCAACATTCAAAAGGCCTAAAAAACTTAATTCAATTTTTTTTAAATTTTGTTACGCGCAAAGAGTAATTTTTTTGGATTTTCGCATTTTTGACTAAATTTCATGTTGTGAAAGAGGTAGCAGACCATTCTTGAATTTTCAATGCCTATTTCCCCGAATGCGAATTTACATGGAGCATGATTTCAATACGTTCACAACATCGGGCATGTTGTGAACGTTTGCATAATAACCGTATCTGAACTTTTAGTGTTATGAATTTGAACTTGATTAACGATTAAATCGTTCATGGAGATTCTCATGCAGCTTGAAAATGAAAAAAAAATAGAGTTTTTCAAGTCAAGCGATCATTGATACTTCAATGGTAACTTGGATATGTAAACTTATTATGAAAATTGATCATATTCAATTGCATTTTCAATAGATGAGTATTTCAAAAATGTATTGGCCGACGTTTAATAATTTTCATTATCGTGTGAACTTAAAAATGAAAATTCCATTGAATATTAGGTAATGGACAGATTTTTCAATACCAATATGTAGGGAAACTTAATATAAAATGATCGTTGTTCAAACCTTCAAAATATTCTACGTGAAATTTCAAGGGTACTTTTCTAACAGTGTATTTGGAAAGGAAAACTGTTCGTTTTGAATCATATGAAACGATGCATGAAGAAGCTTAGGCACAAAAGAATCAAATGACACCAAGTTCGAGTAGCAATTGCGCGCTAGGAATGGTGAAACAATCAAAGAAAGGATAGCAGAAGATCAAATTCCTTTAGACAGGAAAGATATCACTGTGCGTATTTTTTACATGGAAAAAAATTCTCATTATGATTCATTCAGTGTTCAGGAAAAACGTGATCTATTGTCGATATATCTTGGTGAGATTCTGCAAAATCAACGTTTATTTAAACGGCCGTTTATTAACGACCACACAGGCCAACACCTTCTTTTCATTTAAAATGAAAAAAAAAATATATATATATATATATATATATATATATGATTCATGGGCCATGTAATGAGTGGTATCTTGTGAATGGGAAATCGGAACAGTGATCGGCATCAATCATTATTCCAGAAATATTAAGTGAATTATTCCCCGAAAATAACAGAATTCATTCGTTTATCATTGGATCTTAGAGAATAATAAATAATTGAGAATTTAAATTTTTTCAATAACTATTAGGTAAATGATTGAAAATTTTCTAAAAAATATTAGAGATTATCAAATAATCGTTCTTCCGAATTCGATTATTAATTGGTAAAATCATTCGGAATTTAAAGATTTAATTCTTGATTAATTTAATAATTGAAAATTGTTAAGTTCTATTACTTGATTGAGGATTTATGAAATTAATGGTAATGATAATTTATGATTATGCCTATCTCTGAATCGGAATCGAAAGATTCCCCTGACAATTATAAGACGAAGACTAAATATAAGACAAAACTATGGAGATTATATATTCAGATCCACTTCATTGATAATCAACCGCGTGAAATTGTGATGATAAATTATGCAATTGCATCTGAGAACTATATCAAATATTATGTTCATATTAATCTAATGATTAATTTCTTCAACAATGGGATTGAAGATGCAGACACTAAGTAACGAGCGCGCGACGCGCGCTTTATCTAGTCCTATTCATAAAAAGGAGAAATGAAATCGATCTCGATATATCTCGAAAATCTCGAATCACTGTCGCCGTAAGACTGAAACCGAAGCACCACTACGTGAGGAGATGAAAGGCGCGTGCACAGCATGCGCGATCGATCTCGTAGCTTCAAAATTGGTAAGTTTAGAGAAAAATATCAGAAGATTATTTCTGTAGAAAATTATCTCAGGTACAAAAAATGTTTCAGGACATTTTTTTCATATAAACACTCATGCTACTGAGATAATTCAACAATTACTAAGTGGTTGTAGAAGACAATGTCAAGAGATTTTTTTGTAACTTACAAATATCGACAAAAAGTATGCTGAAAAAAATTCTTCAAATTACTGCTTCCCGCAAAATTACTCCGAATCATCAATCCAAACATAAGCTAGAAACTGGCAAATTTTTATTGACAGTCTCTCTTTTTAATTTGGCAATATGTGAAATGTAAAAATTTTGAATGTTCTAGCGGTGGTAGGGATGGGACGGGAGACCCATTTCTCTCTTGATAATGAAGCTACTCCAAAAAATCTGCAAGTCAGCATGTTTTGTCTCTGATATTTATAAGTCATTACTATTTACGACCAAGTTGATCGAAAGTTTTTCCTTCTCTTTTTCAAATTCGATTGTGACAAATCTTCTTTCTTCAAGATTTTAATGAAACTGATAATTCATACATCCAAAAATGTTCCTAATTAGTTTTTTAAATATTAAAATAAAATTATTCCAAATAGATCGTCAATTAAGAATTGAATCAAGAACTGATAAATGGAATTGACTCTGCACTCTAGTTCTTAAGACTTAACAATTTCGGATGTTCCAACAATAGAAAATGGCGCATGACTGAAGATCCATTCCTCCCTTCTAAACGAAGCTACCTTAAAAACTTCCTCCCTCCATTATTCACTTCAAACGATCTAATCAATCCAATGAATTTTCTCTGGAATAAAAAATTTTCGATAATTGTGAAAATTGACACATTTTAACGTTATGCACGGTACCCTATTGACCTAAATTTTTAATTTTTATAATCATGTTTTGGGCGCATGCGTCACAGCACCATAATAACACTATACACACCCTGAAATCGACCCGCAAACAACTCCACGATTATCGTCGACAATTTCCATATTTCAGCCATTCACAACACGGTTTATTTTCATGAATAAAATTCATCAAAATATGACGAAAATAAATAGTAATGATTTTCTCGAGGCAAGGAAATGTTTCCTTTTTGAATTCGTGGAAGCAATAGTCTTCAATATTTGTGACCTAAAAATGAAGATACATTTATTTTGTCTTTTATGATCAATGCAATCTAGGTCACCAGAAATACAAGTTCTTCTTCAGTTCATTTCTTCACCTCCCCTCTCAATATTAAATAATAAAGGACTGGAGAAGTTCTTCGTATGTTTTTTTCATTTTTGTTTAAATTTAATTATATATAATATATATTACATATATATTATGACTGAACCACCGACACGTCTGATGTTTTATGTTACTTTAATTATTTACTTTAATTTACTCTTCATTTATTTGAGTGTTATCTCTTTTTAAATCGTTCGGTGTAATTTTCATATTGTTCTTGAGTGATGTTTTTTAATCATTGTTTAAGTACGAATCACACACAATTAACGCCTCAAGTTAATCAGTTCACGCAAAATTCTCTTCACCTCCGAGTTCATCAATTGACAAGCACCCCTGAAAGTGCATCCGATCGTTCCATGAACCAAATTATTATTTCTCATTACTCAATCCCTTTTATTTTCCATAATCTTCTCATCTCATTCGTGATTCTAGTAAAGTGGTGTCGACGTTTTTTCAGTTTAGTTTATTAATTAATTTCCTTGGTTTTTCTCAAATACAATTCTTTTTTTTTCACCCTTTGAAGACAGAAAATAAATAACCAGTAGGCAGAGGCTCGCGAAAAAGATTCTTTTTTTATTTTTGATTTTAAATTTTTTTTTGCTGTTTTCTTTTGTTTGAGTTATTTTTTTCTCTTCTTCGATAGTAGGAATGTCGAGGTCTAGACGTTTTTGCACTTGATTTTATTTAAAATTTAATTTTAAATAATTTAATTGAATTTCGTTATACTGCACAAAAAGTATTAAATAAAGTTTACCATGCAATAATGAAAATTGGCATTGTTTTTATCATTAATTGAGGTGAAATAATTTAACGAAAAAAACAATAAGGAAAGAGCATGTCTCACGTCCCTCGTTTAAAGGCTTCACGGTATCACTACAATGTCATAATGTTTTTTGGTTTTTCCATGCTTTTTTTCAACTTTTTTTACAGATTTTTCTTGTGCATTACGTAGATAAATTAAAATACGACTTGCTAGACAATTTTTTTGTTTTCTTTTATGCTTTAATTTACTAGTGATGAGACATTGAGGGGGGTAGGGGGATCCCAACGCGGTTTCAAGACATTAATAAACCCACTTAAGTAGACACAATTTTTTTGTCATTTTTTCCATTTGTTACTTCACTTTTCAACTACGAAAACACAAGCTATGGCTCCTTCTAAAACGGAATTTTTCTTTCACCTCACATCTTGGAATTTAATTGAAATTCTTAATGATTTATATCGATATTCATGTATTTTTTAATAATTTCTTTTTTTTTCTTGTATGTGTGGTTTTTTTTATAATGTAATACAAGTGTAAGTTTAAACTTGTAATTAATGGAGGATGGAGCACAGTGCTCTCTCGATACATGTAACAATGAGCATAAAGTATTTATTTTTATTTTTTAATAATTGGTTTTGGTTTTTAATTATAGGTTTCTTTTCATTAATTTTAAAAGAAGGGGTGTGTGTTGAGCAGTGTATTTATGTATGAGTGTATGTGTATAATGTGTCTGTTCTCGTGTTAATCATTTTTTTCTAGTTTTAATTTAGTTTACACATATATTTTTGTTTCCTTAAAAAAATGTACACTTGGAACAAAATTTGATGAACCCACAGCCAATGACGACTTCGTGGTATTTTCTTCTTTTTTTATTCTTTAACTAACATTAAATTTAGCAACGAACTTTTATTTTCTTTCATTATTTTTATTTCTTTATTACGTGGTTTTCCTCTTCTGGAAAAGGTGCATCAAACTTTATTCACGGAAAGCTTATTCGAATCATACTTTCTGTTATTTCATTTTTTTTGTTCATTTAAAAGCGCATGAAGAGTTTCATATTATTAAAGAGGATAGAATAATTGATTGAAGGGATTCTCTGAGGCTGATGGAAGCAAAAGGGGGAGGGAGGATAGAAACAAATGGAAATTATTATTTAATTTATCACGTAAAAGATGGAGGGTTATTTTCCTTTTTCTTCGATTAAGCGCGAGTTTTCCGTGCATACACCTTGAATTTTCTTCATAATATTAATAATTTGTTTTCGTCAGTGATGTTTTTTGCTTCATTATTATGTTTTTTTTCACTCACCGATTGGTGTTCGTACATTATGCAAACGTGGCAAACACACATTGTATTCTCTGATCTTTTTGCTTTGTTTGGTTTTTTCTTTCATCATTCAAGGGAACAGCATAAACGATGATAACGCAATTAAACACTTAGAAAGTGTGTTGTGTGTGTGAGAGAGAGATAGATTGAGAGTCTGAGAGAAAAAAAAATTTAAAAAAGCCTCTGTCCCTAAGATTTATTGATGATAAATATTGAAGACAAAAAAATATGAAATAATTGGTTTTAATAAAAAAAAAGAAAAACGAATAATTAAATATCACCAGGTCTGCTGTCCTCTTGATAAGTAATAAGGGCTCTCAATTGTTTTTTCTGTTTCTTTTTTAAGACTTCTTTACATCCTGGTACAAGGTTGATTTTTTAAATCCACTTTTTTTTTGTTGTTGTTGTTTATTTGAATTTTTTTAGTACGTCAACACCACTCCAAGTCGCGAGTTTTCCCAGCACAGGGGTTGTATTCACTTTGATGTCATCATTGTGACGAATTCTGCAAGAAAAAAACAAAGAAAAAAACATTAGAATTCATTTGTAAAATCATTCATTAGTGTTTTTTTTTGCACGACTGCATCATGAACTTGTTGAATGAAAATGATGTCACGAAGTTTGAACGCAGGTCAGTGTCAATTAAATTGCTCATTTCGTTTAAATGAATCGTCTCAACCGAATAATGAATGACAATTGAATTGAATTGATGCGATTCAATTACACGCAGTCACTGGTATTTTCCCATTAGTTCTTAATTTTTATCAATTCTTTTTTTTACATATTCCGACTTGTATCTACCTTCGTAATTAACTTGGCCATCACCATCGATATCAGCCTCTCGAATCATCTCATCTACCTCCTCATCGGTTAATTTCTCTCCCAAATTTGTCATAACGTGTCTGAGCTCTGCTGCTGATATAAAACCATTGCCATCTTTATCAAACACCCTAAATGCCTCTCTGATTTCCTCCTCACTGTCGGTATCCTTCATTTTACGTGCCATCATCGTCAAGAATTCAGGAAAATCGATGGTCCCATTACCTAAGAAAAAACATTTCCCCCAGGAAGAAAAAAACCATTAAACATTGTCTAACTCATTCGATTTCCCCATTCTCTCATTCCTTCATCTTGTTCTTACCATCAGCATCTACTTCATTAATCATATCCTGTAGCTCAGCCTCTGTTGGATTTTGACCAAGTGAACGCATGACAGTTCCCAATTCTTTGGTAGTGATGGTGCCATCACCGTCTTTATCAAAAAGCGAAAATGCTTCTTTAAACTCGGCAATTTGTTCCTCCGTGAGTTGGTCAGCCTAAAAAAATCATCAATAAAATTCCCCTGATAAACATTGCTGGTAAAAAGGAATCGTTGTACAAATCGAGCAACTTAGCGGACAATCATCGTCAACTAATCATCGTTATCTGAATTTTTATGATACGTATAACAGTTCTATCTCCCTTGATAATCTAAAGACATTTTGATAGCGAACCACTTTGCCTGAGTTTTTTCCCGTTAATGTCCTATCATCATTCCATACAGAGCTCCCCCGTCCGCCCGCCCGTTGCCATCCCCAAATTGAACAATTCATGAATTATGACAAAACTTGTTGCAGCGTAATGGCATGTGCCACGCCCATCCATGCAAAATTAACCCCGTGGGAATTAATTATTCCATGACGAACAGACCTCAAACCCATTGCTCTACATTATCCCAATCCTCTTTCAAAAAAATCTGTCAACAAATAGTTCTAAATAAAACATCATAAAACACGTCAAAATCTAGTAGAACAACTCAAATAATCATTACCCAATTAACGTTACCACTACGTATTGTTGACAAACAATTAAATTTTATTATCCCCAAATTTCTAACAAAAACCCAATAGAACACTCAAATAATGTCATTGGATTTCATCGTAAATGCACTTAAATCATCCGCGTTACCTGGATATCCAGGGATAGCGTTTGACCTGAGGGGGTTTTGGGTGAATCTGCTTATAAAAATCGACATTTCACTCCCGAGAGGTAAAGGTCCGTCTTAAGCTAAACATACAAAGTCTCAACCTTTCGAAAATGCTATTGAAAAACTGTCAATAAATTCTAAAACTCAAACAATTCCAAATAGTTCATCACACAACACAACAGGCCACAATACACGCGATTAAAACTGCTGCGACCTAGAATCGAAAATACGAACCATATTTTTTCACTCGTGTACGTGTATTCTCCAGCAAATTTTATATTTATAAATAAACTTCTCCCGATATATTAACACGTAACAATACTTATGGAATTTTGTAACGAACGTTTGAAGATGGGCAACTCCACTTTGACAAAACCCCAACGATATTGTTTATTTTACTAAAAAATATCTCTTAAACAGGAATATAACGAAAGAATAAGAGAAAAAAAAGGTTGTTTAGATCCCGACGAATGTCGTGAGGGGATAGGAAAGATAGTCGTTGAAGCAGGGGCTGTACGGAGGCACCTACTGCGAAAATCAATAGTGTGGTATATAGCACAATGGCTGATTGGCGAATGCCGCAACGCGCTACGATCAACCCCCCCCCTCTCGCGCTTTCACTCGCTCTCTTTCTTTCTTCCTCTCTCCCTTTCTTTATTGCTTCATCTCACTTTTGTTTCACATTCGTCTCATCATCCCAGAGGTATTAAAAAATTTACAAAACACTGTGGAATGAGTAAATTTACCGACATTTTCACCCTTCCAAGTGGAAAACAGCACAAATAAAATAAAAACGAACAAAGCCGAAGAATCTATTGTTTCATCGTGTTTCAATACCGACACGTCATATTTCTATATTTCCGTGTTGCATTTTTTGTTTTTTCATAGTTCTTTCCTTAACTATCTCACTCATTCCCAATGTCTGACACATTTTAACGGAACCTCCTAGCTGGCCTGCATTCCAACTGACCTTGGCACAACAGAGAGACACTGTATTTTTGCCCCCAAAAAATGTGCGCGATAAAGTTTTTGTTTTCTTCTCCTTTACTGAGCAAACCTCTGAACACCGTTGTCAAATCGATATTCATTTGTATGAAAAGTAGAAGATGGAAAAATAGTACGTCAAGGTGGATTCAAAATACGGGTATTACCAAGGGTAATGTTATTAAGAGATTGAAATCTACTGGATGGGAGGAATGAGAAGAAACGGTGAATCATCGTCCAAATATTTGTATGACGCCTTTTGACTCATGGAGAATAAGTGCAAATGAAATAATGTTGAAATGAAATTGTTAACGATCATATTTATTTGGAATTTTGTCACATGTGCCTCTATGCATCTTTCGGCTTTTATATTTTTTTCCAATACGGCCGAACGCCGGTTACCAGTCGTCAATTGACAACCACGATGGCGTTCCACTGCTCATTACTGCCAACGTGGAGCCGCCAAATACCTTTACTATTCCTCCCCCGACCCCTGAAAATTATCATCAAAAAGCCCAAGATTCTTCAGAATAATTATTTATCTCCTTTTTTGGATGAAAATTCCGACATTTTGGCGTGACGGAAAACACCAATCGATGCTGCGCGAGCGTGTATGCGTATTTGTCCCCCCTCCCCGTCTGCCGCGACCACTCCAAATGACCACGGGTGTGCGCAGGGGTAAAGAGGGTGTATTAACACTCGCGTGTATTATCGCAATAATTTTCAATAGGGAAGTAAAACAATAGGTCTCTCGCAGCTCTTAAATGAGAAATCCATGGTTATAATGTGGAAAATGTCTTATGAGTTATGGCCAAACTGAATGGACACACCACGATTTTTTAATACATAAAAAAATGGAGAAAAAATAAGTGTAAACGGTCGATACAGAAAGGGGCAAAAATAGACATGTGGATCGATCTTACCTCTGCTCCATTTTCCCCCAGAAAAATGGACAAAAAATAACCGAAATTTTTTTCTTTCTGAAAATCCCTTCAATGTTCTCTCTCCCTGGCCCTCCAACGGCGCAATAAAAAAATTATAAATCGATCGAGCCCAACAACAAATATGGTGGATTGTGAATATTTGCTGCTGCTTTTACCGGGTACTCAATAAACGCAATGAAAATACAGCAATGGCTCAAGATAACCGGCGTGCATTGAGAGAGTGTTTCTCACACCAATTGTAGAATGCGTTTTGCAAAATATACGATTTAATCCACGTGCACGCGTGGCGTTGCGTCAATTCTCGATATTAAAATGAAATAAAGAAAACTATGGAATACAAATGACCAATAGATGGTATGAATCGTCAATAACTTCACAAATATACGATAATAATTGGCACAGATGGTTTTTCTTGGTTATAAAATAATGAGTAATAATAAAATGTCAAGTGTGAAGGTTCGAGGGCACTCACCATGTTGGCTTTACAATAGTTATTCTCCTACTGGAAACCGACGAGTCGTTTTCTCTCTTTCTTTCGAAGCTGCGGTGGGGCGTTGAGGTGCTGATCAGGTAGGACCCTGGATCGAGTTTACCACTTTAAATCCACCGAAAAAATAATTCCGAGAAAACTCTCTCTCTTGTTCACCGAATTGACGAGCAAAATACTCTCCCAAAAAGTCTTTGTATAGTTCGTTTTCTCAAAGCAGTTGAGCAGTTGTTAATAATATTTCAGCCGACAATATTAGAAACCGAGAGCCATGAAAAACCCGTTGAGTTTTTGATCGGCAAACGTCGGTGAAAGCGCTTTTTCAACGACAAATAAAAAATGTATAATACGTCGTTACTCTAACGCTATTACTAACGTCGATATCAATTGTATTGATATTAATATCAGTCCGTGTTTTATTTTATTTTTTTAAATTTCTTTATTTATTTACCAAATTAAATGAAGAAAAATAATCGAAACTGATCGCCAGTTTTTTTTTCTTTTTTTTAGTCGTTATATCCGGCCGACGGGAAACGCACTCGGAACAGCAATGGAGGACTCCTGTTAACCGTACGATGCTCGGTGGTATCACTACGCCGCAGGCACACCACCAGGGATAGTAGATCTCTAGTTTTTATTGTGTTAGTATGCGATGGTGTATGCGCAGCTTGTGGGGGATAGGGTTTTGCGCACATTGGGATACAGCGGTGGAAGGTAGAATTGTGAATGTGTGGGTTATTATGAGAGAGATGGATCTATAATGACGATCCGGATGAGAGAGAGAGAGGTGTTTCCTTGTTCGGGCCAATGCCGATGGTAAACTATCAAGGGGTTAGATGAGAATTGTCGAGGCGGTGGAGGGGGAGGCGGCTCGAAGGGGCGCGTCGCGCACTTCCTACGCGACGCTAAACTAGCGCTTTTTTTCCCCAGCAATTTGATGCTGAAAGTTTAGGGAATTCAATTCTGAAATATTGTATTTTTGGGGTTTTGGAATTAATCAAATCTGTTGAGTATTCCCTTCAATTTTTTTTCGCATGGAGTTGAACATTATAGGTTTATGATGGTGGGTCTCAGCGGTGAGTAGGATGACTGTGGAAATATTCAAATTTTTAATATTTGAATATTCGCCATTCGTCAATTAGCTTCAGCGAGTGAAGTCTGAGGTTGCCTCAATGTTTTTTCTCATGAATTTTCCCTCACGTTTCAAATAAAAATGTTGGCTTGACTCGGGGTGCGGTTCTTGTTTACTGGACGGGTCCGGGCGAACTAAGCAAGACTCGTGATTGGCCGTCGCGCACCTGCAATGCGTCAGACGCGCGGCCACCGCCGCCGTTGACGCTGTAACGCGTTATACACCAGGGGGTCCTCTCTTCTCTACCCAACGCGCTAAAACGACACGATTTGCGCCAGCGCTGTTGAAGGCAAAACCCATCTTTTTTCCAATGTAGTGAGGGAGAATACGATCACATCTGCCACCCGAAAAATCTAACGGGTCAAAGCCGACCCTTAGAAGAATTTACCCCTTTCCTCTTTCGTTATTCCTTTTTTTTCTTCTTTCACCTTTTTTACTGAGCATATATGGTTAAATATACCCTGTCAATGTTATGGCAGGTACGAAAATCGTTTGACCCGACGGAAAATTGTTGTTTAAACATTCATGGGTGGAGGTCGAGGTATGTACAGCCAATTTGACGTTAGTTGCTCTTCATTCTTTCCTTTGGATTTGTAGATTGGACAGGTAATATCTTTGGAAGGTATACCGAAAACTAGCAGTTTTACCAACAATGTTAAGAGACGAATGTTAGTAGTTTCAGTGATATTGACGAAATAGTCAGTTTCTCGAAGACGTCAATTTCCCGATTTTGCAAATATCTTCAAAACTACAACGTTCATTTAAAAAAAATTAATCGAAAGACATTTTTTTCAGCTGATAGAATTCTTTATTGAAAAAAAAATTTCCCATATTTTTCCCTAAACCTCGACAAATTACGATAGCTTATGGAGAATTCAAACTAACTAAAATGATGACTCTAGTCACTTAAAATTTCCTTTGCGTGTTATTTTTCCACTTCCATCGAGTTTTAACCGTTGTGCTTGAAGCACACGAAAACTGAAAAAATCATAAAGATTTAGGAACGGCGGAAGAAAATATCGTGCACGCTGAATTGCGTGACTTCTGATTGACAATAGAATAGAAGTATTTTATCCATAAAATGAATGACAGACAAGCTATTAAATGTAGGTCAATGAGAATATATATTTATTTTTCCTACCCCTTCGAGGACTGGAACTTGAAACGGTCTCCCAAGATGTTATGTAGCTAAATCTCGTTATAGTCTTCGACTAGATTACGTGAATAGAAGAGATAGGATTGAGGTACAATTTTTATCATAATAACTTTCAATTTTCATTAGTAAAATATGCTAGAATCTATAAACACACTTGTGATCAGATGAGTGGAGTATATTGATTATGAGGTGGATTATTTTCTTCTAATCCTGTTCGCAACTCATTGGGTGTGAACTTGTGACGAGGCCTTATGCTTGAGAAGAAATGTAAAGACAATATCCCAGCAGTATATCAGTTTTACACCCGTGGATGAAACGTATTGTAAATATGAGTAGAAAAACAAGATGATGAAATTCTCTACAAAAAATATTTTTGATTTTTTTCTCTGAACCCACTCATTATCAAGAGATTCACGTAACAAAATTAATCCCATTGTTCGATTCATCTCCCGTTATCCATTACATTTCTTTTCCAACAATTTTCTGAAAATAATACCGAGTGATGGAAAAAAATAAACAAAAATAAAAAAGAAGGTGCATGATGAGTTTCAATGCCGTTGTGGTATTGGGCTTGCGCGGAAAATTGTACGCGCAATGCGACACGCTATGGTGGAAGTGAGACAGTGATAGGTGGGTAATCTCGTTAGTGGTACCCAGAGCAAATGTGAGTGAAAAAAATTACGGCCCCGGCATGAGGTGGAAAAAGAAGAGAAAAAAGAAATAAAAGGTGGAAGGGAGAAGAAAGAGATTTGGTAAATTAAGGGTGTGAGAGAGGGTGGGTAGGGGGTGGAGTGAAGGAGTAGGGAGGGGGGTTAACTTAAATCTCGTTAGGTGGAATTGAGTTAACAGAATGTGAGGCCTATATAGACTTGAGTTCATCTGATGTGGTTCCTGTCAATTTTGTCAGCATTTCTCCATTTTCGATTCATTTTTTATACTTAATAATTATTCACATCTTTTCTGGTCAATTCCTCTTGGACATTAATTAAATATTTTAAGAAATTAAAGTTTTATGTAAATAAATAAGATGAAATTGAATACAAAAATGAGAGACATAAACTACTGTACTGCCGAACTAAGATTCGTAACGATCAAACACTCGTTTCCGGCAAACTGACGTCACTCACAACCCAGATAAACCGTTCCATTATTTTTTTTATTGGTTTTTGTTTTTGTCTTTATTATTATTGTTACCAACGAGCGTCGATAAATGATCTTTATGCACGACTTGTATTGATTATAAAGTGAATAGGAGAAAAAGTTTCACTAGTTTTAGTTTGCGTTAAAACGTAATAGTATTGAGCCCCTCCCCCCCTTCCTAAAAAAGGTCAGACAGTGGCTCACAAAAAAAAACGAAACCTTGATACGAAGCCATGGGTTTCCCACAGGAGATATATTCGCACATGACAATAGACAAATTGTCAACATTACAAATGCCTTCATTCATTCCAATTGATAACTTTTTATTAAACTCTTTACACCATTTTTTTAATATAGAATAGATCTATTTCATACAGATGTATTTTCTTAAAATATTCATCAACGTTTTCTTTCCATCAGTTATTGATTAGTAATTTTGTTTACGTTTGGAACACTGCATGAACAAGTAGGTCTACTGGCACAATAAATATTCGTCGTTTTTGCTAAATCATCATGATCATCAAATATACATTTAGTAACAATTCAGTAACTATGTTGACATTGAGGGGAGGGTGAATGAGGGAGCATTTACTCCTATGCCGGCATGGGAGCGCCATTTCAAAATAATTTGATGTTTAGGCACCAAATTCATCTTCCATCCTCACTAAAATTTACATTCTCTCTCCAAGGATTAATATGGATGAGAGAAACATTGGGTTTCAGTCGAAGTCGAAAGAGAGAAGATAGGTTTCGTTTTTCAGGGGGTGTAAATTAGGTTGTGAATATCTCGAGAACTGATGGGTTTAGGGGATCTGTCAAAGAACTGTTTGATATTTTTCTCTAAATCCAAAAGGTTTACAGATATTTGCAGAATGGTTAGTATAAAATTTATCATGCTCGTTTTATTGCACACAAATTCTATTCTGCAAATATCTCTGAAACGAATGTATTTGAAGAAAAATGTCAAAAAAACATTTTTCGTAGAAAGTTTTATAATCTGTCAATCAGATTTTGTAATATTTTACTCTAAATCCAGTAGTTTTCGAAATATTTACGCAATACCATCAGAGTCATGGAACCCTTAGGAAACGGGGCCCAGTTATGGAACCGTATTGTCTTCAATAACTTAGAAGTTGTGTTGAGTGGATGTTTTTGACTTCAGAGAAACTATATAGTCCATAGTTTCAATTCAAGTTTGTTCATCGCAGTGAATATATAGGGTCACAGGGATTTTCGGCTAAATGTAACGTTGATTTCAGAACCGGTACCAGTTCCATAACCGGGCCACTGACGGTCCGTTTAAAAGAGAACGTTAACATAACTTTTTTTGTACAGATAATTTAAAGGTGCACAAAAGTGATGTTCTGACATTTTCCTCTGAGCGCAATATAGTTTTCGAAATGTTGACGGAAAACTCGGTATGAAATTTTGCAACCTGTTTCCCGTAGCAAACGGATTATTCTACCGATGGCTTACGAACTAATGGGTTCAGTTGCAAATGTTAGGAGATTTTTTATATAAAGCATTCCAAGATCTGCAAAAATAATTTTTTGACGTCGAACAACCTTAGTAGTTTCACAGAAATTTACAAAAGCGGTACATTAAATTTTCCAATTTGTAATTATAGGTAAATGATTTAGCCAATATCTTGCAAATTAATGGATCTAGAAAAAATGACAGGAAATCTTTTTTATACAGAATTTCATTATCTACGAGGAATATCTTTTGATATTTTCCCCTCGCCTATTGTCTCTGACAACAATCAAACAAAACAGGGCACCTAGTACTTCACACTTGCCCTTCTCTCTCCTTTACTCGAAAGTCACTGGAATGGACATAATCGGTAAAATTGGATTCGTATTTTCCACCTCCAGGGCAGTTGCCATACAGTCATTGGCAGTCTCCATCTCCCCAAGTGATTCCAATACTTTACCAAGATTATACCTAAAACCGTGAACATCAATGATTAATTAGTTGCAGTTTTCGTGAATCAACATTTCGACGATTAATATTCACCAAATTTGATGGGAATTTGGGTCAATTTTCGCTGCGTCACGTAGGGTTTTTTCCGCAAGTCTCTGACATCCCAAATAATGGTAAACCAATCCCTGGAAATTATTTATGAATAGCATAGAAATTTCATCTTCTCCTGCCTTATTAATTGAGGATGTTTGTCCAAAACCGCAGAGAATCTAGTAATTTTTCAAATGTTGAACATGGTGATTTTCCGTCTGTTCCCACGATTAAAAAATTAAACAAAAATAGAGAAAATGTTACAAAATTTGTCCGCTATATATTTTTTCGGTTAAAATCCTTTTCAACATTTGTAGTGATGTAGAACATTGATCCATTTAACTTGATAGTCCGTTTTAAGCTAACCCGCAAATTAAAAAAATCGGGAAGATTCACAATTTAAAATTGCTGGTATTGCAAATAAATGCCTTTTCCATGAATAATTGAATAGAAACAAATTTTCTATCGAAATCATCCTTTCAAATTCTTAATAAACTTATTTATATGATCATCCTTTTTATTTGTATATATGCAGTGCCTTTAGATCTATTTATAGATATATTTATAGGTATACTTATGAGTATATGTAGATCATAGCCGGAACAAATTCCGAAAGGTGTAAGTATTTTTTATTATAAAAATAAGTTTCGTGAAAGTTTAACCAATCGCAATTATTTACTAATCTTGAACAACTGATATATTGAAAAATATTTGAGTTTTTCGAAGGTTTTCTGATGCAATCGAATAGAACCTTTTGATAATTGAACGTCTGTAACTAATTATCCATCTTTCTTTTTATATACTAGATCTGTGCGCGCGCTTCCGCGCGCGCTTATCATCTTTTCATTGTGAAAATGAAGAAATCGAATTTATTAAACTTCATATACTCATAGATGTTTTATAAATATTGATAATGACTTAAAGAGAATTAAGGGAATGAAGAGTGAAGCATCAATGAATAATTTTTAATCTTCGATTAATTTTTTTTTTTACTTTTTAAAATAATTTGATTAAAATCTATAATTGTTGAAAAATCAGGGGAGGGTTATGAATTGATTTCCTAGAAAACTGAAAAAATGTCTTGAATTCTTCGGAAAATTTCACAGTTTTCCAAATAACCTAGATCACAGATTTTTCTCGAATTATTTGGAAAACCGAAGAATTTTCGTGAATTTTGTAGAGTTTAGAATTTATGTATGAAAATCTGAAAAGCAAGAATTGATCATTTTGGTGTGTGATAAATATGAAAAAATTAAAATTTGGGAAGTGAAGAATAATTTGTGAATTAAAAAAATTTAGAAATACTCTTTTTTTTCTCATGATCAACAATTAGGCAATTTAGATATGTTTTGATATAAAGATCAACTTCACACATGAAAAAATGAAAAATATGACGCAGAAAATTTTTTTGGCATTTGAAGAATTTGAAAATACCGGGGTTTTTTTTCAGCGACTACTTCACGTGACTCATTGATCAATCAGAATTGAGGATTAGCAGTCAGGCAGTTTCGAGATATGTCGATATAAAACAACTTCACGTTTCTTTCATCTTTAGTAAATAGGATAGGATAAAGGAGAAGCCATTTTCGAGGCGACTGATGTATCAACGTACAGTCCAAACTACAAGAGCTACGAGCATGAGCTTTTGCCTATAACTACCCTTAGTGACGTAAGCTCCCACTAAGGGAGAGTTTTTGGAAATTCACCCCCTAAGGGGGTGAAAAGGGGGCAAAATTGTTTATGCGATTTCGAGAACCGCTCAAGTTAGAGAGGTAAAAATGCGCGTGTAGATCTCCTTTTAAAATAAAAAGACACGTGTTTTTCATTCTCTCGAAAATCCACCTCCGAGAGGGTGAAACACAGAAAGTTCTAGAAATTTCCACAACTGCCTGGAGGTTTCTCGAATTTTATAGAAAAGGAGGGAATATTCTTCGAAACTAGAAACATCTGTTTAGCCAATGATAATGGAAATTTCTAGAACTTTCGGGAGAACTCGAGAATGCTCTACGATAGGTATTAGACAAATTATTCTCATTTCTATTATTATGAGATATTTCCGTAAAGTTTTCGCCGTTTCGTCGAAAGTTCTCAGGTTTTCTGAAATGTGCTGGAAAATTCGAGAAATTTCTCGAGTCTTCTAGAAAATTCAAGAAAATTCGAGAAAATTCTCAAGTTTTTTAAAGAGTCCAAGAAAGTTCTTGAGTTTTTTGGAGAACTCGAGAAGCTTCAACTTTTTCGTCATTGACTTTGACTTATCATAAATAATATTTCCTTCAATGTGATATCATTCATTCATTTAGGAATGAATAAAAAAAACAATAATAATCATCATCATCATCATATCAATCATTATACGATTTATGTTTAAACTCGCCACATGAGGCGAGTTTAAACATAAATCGTATAATAGTCTGGATATGCAAAAAAACCCGTTCATCTCATTATGTTAAAGCTATTACGACTACTTTTTATCTATAAGCCGAAGAAATCACATTTTTTTTAACACAAAGCAATTTGAATTCTAAAAATGAAAAAAAAAAACATCCTTAAGAGAAATAATTAGTTTCAAAAAAGTAATTCATGAAAAATACCAAATGTTGAAGACTCTTTATATGAGAGGGATTAATCGACACAGCATTCTGATAGCACTGCTTCGCTTCAGCATACTCAGCTTTGTATTCATGTAAAAGTCCCTTCTAAAAAAAGAGAAAAAAACTAACAATAGAAGGAGAAATAATGTTTCTTCACCTCAATACTGTTCATTCCTCTAACTACTGTCAATCAATTTTTCCTGCTAAATTTATTCATTTATTAGAAGATCATTCGCCATGGCGCGACCATAGATACCGGTGTCCGCGGCCATGACACCTCATGGGCTATGACCGTGATTTGGGGGTCCATGGCCACCTTCCACGGCCCCAAATCTCAGAGGTTCCAAGGCCTCATTGCTGGGCCAACATTTATTGAGGGGGGTGGGGTGATCACAAGGGTCAGACGGGAGAGGTCAACGTAGTTATGGCAAGGGTCTAATTATTAGGCTCCAATGGAAATAGTTTCTATTCGATTGCGTGAGAAAACCTTCGAAAAATTCGAATATTTTTCAATATATAGGAGTGATGAATTGAGTAATCGCAAGGATCAAACGGGAGAGCCGAACGTAGTTATCATAATGGTCTAATGATAACTATGTTGGTCTCTCCCGTTCGACCCTGGCGATTACGACGTTTACCTCTCCCGTCTGACCCTTGTCATCACCCCACCCCCTCAATAAATATTGGCCCAACAACTAGGCTATGGAACCCCTGAGATTTGGGACTATGTAAGGTGGCCGTGGACCCTCAAATCGCTTTCAAAAGCCATAGAGATTTCATGACCATGCACGTGGCCACGGGCCCCGGTATCTATGGCCGCGCCATGGCGAGTAGCGTACGTGATTACAGATTGAAAAACGCTATATAAAGTAAAAGAACTACAAAAGCTTCCCTCTTAAGTCCATAGTTGAGCGCTTCAATCTCCCAGTAATCTCAGTAATTCTCTTATCCTTAAAAACACTTACCGTGTACATTATATCGTGACTGAGGGGATAAATATTGGTGGCTTCTTGGAGAGATAGGGTGGCACCTTCTGGACGATCTAGGACGAGGAAAACCTCAGTTAGAAGGAGCCAAATCTGTAATTGTAGTAGCCAAGCATGTTGAGGTCCGGGTTTTGGGGTGAAAGATGATAACGATGAAGCGACTTCTGATAATGCTTGTTCAATTCTCGACGCAGCTAGTGATTGAGCATGTAATGAACCTAAAATCAAAATTGGAAAGAGAGATTAGAACGATAATTGAACTATTATAGAGGGATGACCTCAAAATGGATTTTTTTACGGCTTTTTGAGTCCCCTTTTCAGGTTTTCTTTCAGCACTCTATCCAACCCTATGCATGCAGCAGTGGATTCTATACTGTACCGCATTTGCACTCCTATAGAATATAGGAGTAGCATGGGAAACCACAGGAAACCCATGCTGGTACAGGCGTAACCTCACGCTCTACTAGTAACCTCACGCTCGCCGGGGCCTTCCGTTGAAAAATTCGATTCCACGGGGAATCGAACTCACAAACTTTCACATACTAGACTTACGTCTAGCCCACTCGGCTACCGACATCGGTCTCAAAATGGATACTGACGTTATTAAGAAGATAGCGTCGTAACTTATCGATTTAGAAGAAAAACATTTTTTTTTTGTAGGGAATTTCATGATTTACCAAAAAAATGTCTTTTCCGCCACGGCAGACGCAGTGTGCACATTTCCCCTCCCGCAAATCCCCCCCGAAATCTGACTTTGCACCTACGCCGTGACGGAAAATAACGCCCTGACCATGGCAGGAAAGATAAAGGACCCTTACCTACATGCTTACCGACCTCGCCTTCGGCTCGGGTTGTAATTCTGCACGTGAGCACGACTCTTTTATTTCTCCTCCCTAGATAGCGAATATAATATTGAACGTGTTCGCTAGAACCACTTATTTGCGAGATAATCGAGATCCGCGGCAGTGTATCGGCCAAGAAAAATTTTGCCTCAAACGTGTGAAAAAAAATAGCCGCGCGATGCCATGTTCGCGATACGCAGTTGCGTCCCGTTATCTATGCACGAAGCAACTACCTTGTCCATTACCGCCGAATCATATTCATTGAATAAAATGAAAACGCGACAAATTACGAGAAAAATGCTCTTAGTTATCACATAAATCGGCCACAAGAGTTTCATTGGAGTCATAATTTTTTTCATTCATTTAATCCATAAGTAAAAGATCCGTGAGCGTTACCAGGCTTTTTTCTTTGGTTTCTATGCTCAAGTTCTTTTTCCTTTTCTATGAACCATGTATATAGTACAATCTTTGGAAAGCTCATTAAATGAGTTCCAAAGTGACGTCTGTTTCATCCAATTCTGACCATTTTTCATTGAGTTATGAGAGTTTTAGGCGATAAGTGAATTTTCATGTTTCACTTGAAAAATTAACTTCGGATGGATTTTTCGATGCTTTCAAGTGGCTTAAACAAAGATATTTATACATCATTTTGAAGAACATGTACTGTTTTTCGAAATGGTGTATTAAAAATGCGATTTAATTGGATTTTTATCAATTTATTACAGTTTTTTTCCATTTTCTATGTTTTGTCACACCTAGAAAATGACAGTTTTTGTAATTTATCAAGGGTTTATACTTAATCAGCGGAAATATATCATATATCAATTCGAAGGTTTCATCGGGATCTTCAAATTGATACCTTATATTATTGATTCCAACCATTAGATCAATTGTTACAAGCGATAATGCATCGATTTTGGCATGTCACGTTTTGAAAATTTCCATTTTTTTTCTATAAACGATGATATTTTCTGTTTTTTTCTTCAAGTTTGTGGGAATATGTCATATATAATTCAAAGCACATTGAAGTGCCTTCAAATTGACCCCTGAACTATTTAATTACAGCCAAGTTTGATCAACTTATAGATTTTATCTAAGAATTGAATTTCTTGATTTTTTTCTGAATTCAGATTAGTTCGCATTTTTCAATCACTATCGTTGAAGTAAAGTGAAGAATTCGTCCATCATTTTGAAGGGTATTGTTAGTTCTTCAAAATGGTACATAAAAAATCTGATTTCGTGGAATTTTCATCCAATTATGGTAGATTGTTTCTATTTTTTATTTTACTTCATGTCACACTTAAAAAATCATAGTTTCTGACAAAAAATGATGCTTTGGACTTCACCAGCGGGGATGTATTATATACTAATTTGAAGGTCTTATCGAGATCTTGCAATTAATACCGTGTTTTATTCATTCCATCCAATAAATAAATTCTGACAAGCAATAATAATTTGATTTTGGGATATCACGCTGCGAAAATTCAAATTTTTTCCTCTTCATGAGGAAAATTTCCTCGGTTATTGTCCAAATCTGTGTAAGTACCTAATGCTTAAATATGGAAATATCACATTTACGTTCAAAAAATTGACACCAAACTGATGCCCCATTAAAAATGCATTGATATTTTCCATTTTTCGAAATCATTTATTGGTAATGATGAAGCTTTCGATTCGATCCGACAATTTGTATGACGAATCTATTTGAACATCGGTATCATTTGTGAAGTTGTCAGGAGAATGAAGTGAAGTTTCTGTTTAAAGTTGGTTTATAGTTGGTTAATTTAATTGTCACAATAATTATAATTATTTGATATAAATATTAAAACATGATTGAAATATAATAAAAAAATTGACAAAATGTAGGATCACGTAGTTCGTAAGGGGGATTTATAATTCATGAAAATGACGACAAATATCAATTGCATGCAACCTAGGTAGCGCGCGCGAAGCGCGCGATCTGCCTAGGATTGAAAAAGATACGTGCATAGCAACGGATTGGTATCGGCTTAGTAACGGAGTAGTCAGGTATCTACAACAATTTCAAAATTTCTGAAAATTTGTGTGAAAAGAACGTACCTTCTTTTCAATTCAGATTTGCATATATCAGGGTATTTTTAACACTTCTAGTATATACAGATTAATTCGGAACAAAGAATTCAAACATCCGGAGATACGTTTGTTTGTTACTAGAACTTTTTTTGACGTAATAACTTCTTTCTATACTCTATTGGAGATACGTTGGTTTATTATTTATTGGTAACAAAAGAACGTATCTCACGGATATCCGGAGATAGGTTTGTTTGTTACTTAAACTTTTTTTCCATTAGTAACTCCTTTCTATACACGGAGAGAAATCTTCGATAAAAATTATCCTACCGTTCTATAAAAGTGTATCATGAGTCATCGTTTCCTCATTTCTAACCCGAAATTTAGTAAAAATTAATATATGATGATCAAATTTTATTTTACGTTAGAGAAATTTTATCCTAACGCATAATAAATTTTACCCTTCCAGTCCAATAATTTTCAATTCGCACGCGGCACCGGTTACCGTAGCACGTCCTGACAAACTAATTTTTGCTCTTGTGTTTTTTGCAATGATCACGAATTACAATGTTGTTTTTAACGCATGCAGACGTTTTCAGTTTCTGTAAGAGCAAACTGAGCTCGAGGAATATCATAGAGGGTCAAAAGATTCTCAATTCATGGAATTTATTTACATTTGGTGTGTTGTGCACTTGTAAAGTAGGGTTAGGACATACCTGTAAACACATCGTTTCTGTCTTGCTTTACTGCATCCAGTACGTATATTCTCTTCAATTATCACATTCATTTCCATATTATTTTCTCTAACAACATATTCTATCTCTCATTAGGAATGATCTCACTAAATTGGAATTCATCTCGTGCACTGACGAAGAATACTTGTGGCGTAAATCGAATATTTTAATACCTTTTCAGGTTTCAATAGCTCAAACCACTTCTCACGTATATCAATTTCAACTCGAGTTTCGAGGTTATTCAACAACTGAATATTTCACATCTTGCTGTGGAAACACGTGGAAACTCAAACCCGGATTATCGAGCGATGTATTTTTACATCCTTTAACACAGCATGTTTTGATTTTTTTTTCCGTTTTTCCGGAGTTTTTGATGATGAGTCCATTTTTCGGAGCAACTATCGACTGACTAAACAATTGAATAGAGCGGGCAGCAGAAATCATTGGCCCACCATTTCATTTAATGCAACCGACGTCAACCAGGTATCGCATTCATTTATAGCGTCCCCAATAACAACGAAAATTCTACAACGGTTGGTAAATTTTACCCTAACGGTACAGTAATTTTTATGCTACCGGCACGGTAATTTTTATTTCTACCAGGATAAAATTTCTCTAACGTAGAATAAAATTTGATCATCATATATTAATTTTTACTAAATTTCGGCACAGAAATGAGGAAACGATAGCTCATGATACACTTTTATAAAACGGTAGGATAATTTTTATCAAAGAATACTAAAAAAAAATTTTTATCCAAAATTTCTCTCCGTGTACTCTATTGGAGATATGTTGGTTTATTATTTATTGGTAACAGATAAACGTATCTCAAAAAAATATCGAGATCAAAGTTTGACACTCGGCATTTGCTTCTCTGTTTTCGGTATCAGTTTTGTCAGAGAGAAAAATAAATAGTTGCAGGAAAAAATGTTCTAGATTAAAAAAAGGACAGTTTTCATCTTGCATTTAGATTGCAACCAGAAAAATTTTCTTCATTTCTAAGAACAAAAATGGAATAAAAGTATCGAACTCCGAAAAATTCAAAGAGTGGGTTTTGTTCAATCGATTTGTGAAAGGGCTGAAATAGAGCGTAAAATGAACTTTTGAGGCAATTTGACAGTCGAATAGAGGTCAAGGGAGTAAGACGCCAAGAAGAAAAAAGATAGTTTGCGGAGTCCGAGACAGAGGAACCGAAGGTAAAAATTACAGGTCACAGAAAAACCGAATAGGGAGGAGTCTAATGAGTTTGATGCTTTTTATTTCAATAAATACGGTTCGAGAGTAGATATTGGCAGCTTAGTAACAGAGTCACGTAACTAGCAAAATTTGAAAATCTCTGAAAATTTGTGTGAAAAAAAAGTATTGCCATTCTTAATGACGATTCGCATATTTCACAGTATTGTAAACACTTTCACCATATCAAAGTAAATTCGAAACAAAGAAGCGTCTCTCCGAAAATTCCGTGTGAGAGAAACGTATGTGAAAAGCATCTCAATAAGAAAGACACGTATCTGCAAACGATCTGGAGATACGTTTGCATAGGAGAAGGGGGGGGGGGGGGCGGGGGAAGCGGACCCGCTAAGGAAAAAAACG